ATTGAATAATATTAATCTGGTTTCTTGAAAATCAGTTACCTGACATTTTTCATCTAGGTCTAGTCTGTATTCTGTTTCATTGATTTATGTGTCTATCTTTAGCTAATAGTAAAGTGTTTTAATTATTGTAACTTTTGGTGTATATTGAAATCGGGCAGTATAAATTGCTTGTCAAGTTTCAAGATTTCTTTGGGGATTGTAGGTCTTTTTATGTTTTTAGATAGTGGTGGAGGCATAGTGGAGGAAAGCTGTTCAAATCACGGCATCTAGCAATAGAGAGTGGGCAGGGAGCCAGAGAGGAAGGGGCAGGGAGCAGGACGGTCCTGAAGGTCCCCCAGCTCCCTTTCTCCAGCAGCACCGCCTCCTGGAAGCCTGTTCAGCTGTGAGCTCCTCAGTGGGTCACCCATTGCTGATGTTAGTGCCCTTAACAATCCAGTCACCTCCTCAGGAGCCCCTTAATCCAGTCAGAGTGACAGTGAAGGTTAAGCAGTGGATTTGCTTTTTTGTTTTTTATTTTAAAGAGGATGAAACAATAAAACCAATCAGAACAAACCAGTGTAAGTGATACAAACTTCAAAACAATACAAAATCAACAATAGTTACCATAATGCCTTTTGTTGTCTTCAAAATAGCTGCAGATACTTTTGGACATAGTAAAAATTAAACAGAACAGAATAGAATAGAAACAATAAAAACAAAGTATTGAATGCAACAAAGGGCTTCAAAACAAGCCAATAGTAAATCCAAAATTGCTACTGTATTTTTAACAGTATCTAGCACATGTAGTTAATTTTTAATAGTATTTGTTGATTGACTTACTGATCAGTTACCAAGATGGTCTTTCATAAGTATCACTAATGTATTTTTTCCACATTTATGTATCTGAGGATCTACACCAGAAGTGAGCAATTTATTTACCCAGTTTTTGGGAAGACATTTGTAAAGATGTAAGTCCCAGGGTTTTAATTTATATGAGCCATTCAGGTTAATAATTATTGATGGCTGAGTGAATAATACTACATAGAGTGAACCTAACCTGGTTGAAAATCCCACATGTCCTGTGGGGTTCATTGTAGGGAAAATGGCTTTCATCGGAAGGCACTGATGAAGGTTTAACAGACTAGACTGGTGATATAGAACCTCTCAGAGCTTTCAGTAAGAACAAACAGCCCACGGTGGTGGCTCACGTGCCGTGGATTCTCCACCACTGAACTGGACCCTCCAGTTAAAATCACAGAGGATTGATGGCTTTGGGGGTAGAGATAGAATGAGGAGTGTTCTTGGTGGGGAACAAGATTCTTTAAATTTTGCTTATGTAGTTAGAGGTTATTCATGTGAGGTAATGTTACATTTATTCATCTTTTTAATTGTGCTTTTACTGTTAGGCACTGTAGAGTTAAAAAAAAAAAGTAAAGTACCACATGCTTTTATAGAAGTTACAGTGTTTCTCACGTTTTTATGGATAGTTTGAAATGGTATAACTTAAAGTATTATATAAAGAATGTGGCAGGACTTTAACCAATTTCCTTACGTGGGTTTGTTTATATTTTGGGATATGTTGAGAATACCAAAGTAGCTTTATGGCTTCTATGTTGTTTTGTTTCCTTTTAAGCAAGAAATACTGAAACTAAATGCTATTAAACTAGGAAAATGTTCTAATAATTTGTTAAATCAGTAGGACGTTTTATAATTTATTTGTAAAGGAATAAGGTTTCATTCTGTTATCTCAGTTTTATTTACCACCTTGCGAAGGCCCTCTGAGGGACCGAGTTCACGGAAGTCTGCCCTTGACTGTCCTAAGTCTGTATCAGCAGGAATTTCTGATGCTAGCAGTACTTCTCAGCTGAGTGATGAGTCTACAGGAAGCAGAGATTCTATTCAAACCCTTGACTCTGAAAAATACTTACTAGTTTCTGTTCTCAGGAAATACTTTAAATCTTGACAGGCTTTTTTGGATTTTATAAAAAGAGATTGATGTTTTCCTAATAGTAAGCCATTTTTTTTGATCTGACATTTTTTTCTCTCTTACTATTGGCCCATTACTAAGGCCACAATAACTGTGCTCGTGTATCTCATTGTAACCATTTATTCATTCAGTTTGCTGCGCCTCTGCCATTGCTCTGTTCCCAGCCCTTGAATATGCGTGTGTGTGGGAGGGACACTGGGGATGAACCCAGGACCTAGCACTGAGCTGTCCTTCGCAGCCCTTTCTTTCTTTAAAATTTTTGTGACAATCTTGTGAAGGCTCTAAATTGTTCACATTGGATTTAAACATGCTTCCAGGGTGCTGGGGTTATAGGCCAGTGCCATGAGGCCTGGCTGTAACATTTTTCTAAAGATTAATGTAGTATAAGAAAGGTGTTCTTAGATTTCACTTAAAAATGGCATAAACTTGGATTTGATATTGTGATTAGTGTCCTCTCACTCTGTTTCCTCTCCAGATGACCACATTTCTGTTTATACCTTTACTTTTCACTTGTGTGGTTGTGGAGACCGGGTCCTGCAGGGTTAAGTTGCTGGACAAGGGACCTCTGGCTGTGATGGAAAAGTGTAAATTCACAGTGCTCTGAAGTCAGGATAACATTGCAGCTGAGGCAGCTGACGAAAGGAAAACAGAGCTGCTGGTATTCCCTATTCCAGAGCAATAAAGCCTGCCAGCCTTGGAGATCAAACAGTTCTCTTAATCGGCAAAATGTACTGCTTAGAGAAGTCTTTGAACTAACTTCCCAAGGCCCTGCTCAGTTCCCGCTTTGCGTCACTGTCCCCTTCCTTTGTTAGAAAAATAAATAAATACAAGCTGTCCAGTGGAGCTCTTTGTCTTTATTACTGAGAGAGAGAGAGAGAGAGAGAGAGAGAGAGAGAGAGAGTCTGACCTTCCTGGACACCCCCAAATCATACTACTGGTCTCTTTTAAGCTACTCCAGAAGTGTCCCACCTGTGACCTGCAGGTTGGGCTTACCTGTTTATAATAAGAATATAGATGTTCTGTTATATGCATTAAGTATATTGTATGTTTTATATGTTACCCAGGACAGTTTCTCTTCACTCAGTGCAACCAGGCAAGCCAGGCATGTTCAGCATGGACAAACCTCTACTGTCACACTTTCTCTACAGTGTTTTCTAATTACTGATTTGCTTGCCTGCCTGACTTGAGTGCAGGGACGAAGCTCAAAGGTCTTCTGGCAGCCAGATTATTTAATCCTGTTGATGTTTGGTTTTAGATGTATTAGTACTATTCTGTTTCAAGTTCGCCCTTCTAGAACGTAACCCTTTAAGAATACCAATTTAACCCTGAGGTGTATCTCTGGGCAGGTACATTTAGCTGGCTTTCAGCTCCGTCCTATTCTTTCCATCACCACGCAGCTGACTGGGGAAATGTCTTATCAGCTCTTGGCACCTCAGCTGTTTTCTGGTAGGCTTTTAAATTGTTGTCCTTCTTACTTGTGAACAGTCCTCCTCTAGGGTACCTTACACATAGATTTTTGGGCTCACTGTCCATCTGGTTCCCTCCTCTCTGGGCTGTATTGCCCTCAAGTCCTGGATCGGTGGTGTAACTATGGCATGTATGCTGCAGCAGGCACACAGAGTGCTTTCTGTGGCACATGAGGCAGGTCACTCCCACACTTCAAATGCAGATTTTTTCACCTTTCAGTAAACAGTTGTTTGTATCATTGAAAGATCTGTTTCTGTGTTTTTCTTTCAAGACAAAAGGTGTTAATGTATGATTTGTTTTTTTAAACTAAAACCTCAGTATTCGAGTTTAATTGCAGTGTTGGCACTTTGTGATAAACAGGTGGGTTTTGGGTTGCAGTTTGGGCACTTAGTTTCTAAAAGGTTCGCTGCCACTGTCCTAGGTGCTTTGGCTTTGTTAGACTCCAGCTTCTATCTCTAGTGCACGGAGACTTCTGCTTCCCGTTCCCCATGTACCATGAATTGGCACATGTTCTTAAAAGGCCATAGTGAATGTGGGTCTTGCTGATTGAACTTACTTCTTTCAGGTTTTTCCTCCAGTGCCCTTTAGCAGTTGTCGTATGCCTTTCTGTCTTTTATATTGATTTTAATGAGAAAGTAGGTCTGATACAAGCTGCGGAGTGATGACCTAAGTCCATGTGCGTGCATTTTAAAAACTTGTTTTTACTGGTGTCACATTCACCTATCAGAATCAACTTTTTCCAAGTATGTATTTTAAGTGTCGTTTAGTACATTTACAGTTGTGGATGTAAACAGATCTTTAATTTATATAAGTGATCATGTATTCTACTTCTTGTTCTCATTTTCACCTAACTGTATGTTCTAAAGGTTTTTGCTTATTTTATTACTTTTAGCTATTGCACAGTATGCATTTTGTTTATCTGTTTCTCTTGTGATAGGCATTTATTTTTATAGCTTCCCACTCCCTGGGTTATGTTGCACCTAATAAGAATTTATTCTTGAAAACATTTTTCCTGAGCAAGTGAGTTATATAGAGCCTTTTGAAGAAATGTGATTCTAAAAATTTTTAATTTGATTCATTTCTGTGACTTGGAAGAATCAACTCTTTGGACTACACGTTTGGGAAATTATTCTAGATATATAATATTATATATATTAAGATAATTAGTTAATTAATATATTAATTCCTCTGAGGGCCAGGGATATAGCTCAGCAGCACAGTGCCTGCCTGCTAAGCATGAGATCCTGAGTTTGATCCACAGCACCAAAATAAAACCAAACCAAACACACACACACACACACACACACACACACACACACACACTGCTTCATTTGAGTACTGTTTTTGTGCAAATGGTTTTATCGCTTATTTGGTACCTTGTATTATTTTGAATGTATTGTGGTCTTTTTCCATAGAAATCAGAGATTTTCTCAGAATCCAGTTTACTTTGTGTGTTTTGCAAATTAAGAATGCATTTTTAGTCCTTTTTTTAATTTACTTTTTTCTCTCACCTTTGAGAAACAGAATTATTTGTATTTAAATTCAAAGTTGAACTGTTTCCTCCTAGATAACCATGATGATGACAGAGACATCTTCTATGACTGTTGCTCCTTTTGAGGATACACTAAGTCGAGTGCTGTTCGGTTGGCAGAAACAGTTTTCATGGTGTGAAACAAAAGCGTCTTACAATGGCACTGGTTCATCCGCCTCAAAGTCTACAGCTGATGCTTCAGAGAATGTTAAAAAGAAGCATACTAAGAAGACTGAATAAATTTAATTTACTCGATGAGCTCTAGAAGGCAAAAAATTTTTTTCTATCAGATTGTGGTAGTATTTCTATGTAAATGATGTGAAATAAAGATTATATATAAGAAATAGTGACAAAAATAAACAAATTCTTTTGTTTCAGGGAGACTACCATTTTCTTGATGGTAATTTTGAGTGTTAAGTGTATATCAGGTGAATTTATTTTTCTGATATTAAAATTCTCTTATGACTAGTATTACAAGTTTTGCAGTACTGAGGATTGAACTCAGAAGTACTCTGCCACTGAGTTATAGCCCCAACCTTTAACATTTTTTTATTTTTTAAATTTTGAAACAAGGTTTCTTTAAGTTACCCAGGCTACTGTTAAACATACTTCTGCTTCAGTCTCCTTAGTAGCTGGGATTACCATTGTGTCCAGCTTTTATGATTATTGAACAGTTTTATAATAACAGAAGTAGAATTCTTAGATCTAGAAAAAGTATAGCTATTATGGCAAAATTTCAGCAGTTTTAAAAAACCTAGATATTTTCAGTTTTTAAAAATCAATATTTTTGAGCTTTATTCATTGGAATTTTATTTAATATTACCATTATAATTTCTTGGTGTAGAAAACAATTCCTATTTAATTTTGAGCACTGCAGTAAATATTTCCTAAAGCCGTTTATATTAAAATAAATCACTAGTTCATATTTGTTATGTAAATACAATTTTGTGCACATTAAATGGAAAATACCTGAAATTTAGTTTTATTACTAGTAGAACAGTGAAAGCTGTATTGAGTATTCGCAGTATTAATATAAGCATCAATTTGAAGTCTGTTCATGCCCTTGTTTTAAAAACTATTTTTGGTTGTGAATATACAATTTTTAATAAGTTACTACCTCCATATTTTTATAATTTTCAGTTTGGAGGTTAGCTTTTTCTCCCTAAAATACATTTGTTTTAACTGTAGGGGAAACTGCTCTCCACATTTTACATGTTCTTTCTGGCCTTAATTGGTCTGAATACATTGATGGTGTTGTTTTCATAGCTCTGTGTGTGTTGGTTACTGGGGACAGAACTCAGGGCCTTCACAACTGAGCTACACCCACAGCCCTTTTATAATTTTTTATTTTGAGACAGCATCTCACTAAGTTGCTGAGTTACCCTGGCTGGGCTTGAACTTGTGATTTTCCTGCTTCAGCCTCCTAGAGTCCTGGGATTATAGGTTTGCACCACCATGTGTGGTTTAGTGGTAGTTACCTTAATGATTTAACAAAAAAATATTATCTCTTTAAAATTTTCATTCTGTGCATCCTTTCTACTGGCTCTTTTTTTAGTTTTCTGTTTGAAAACGTTTGGTAACTTGTTATATTTTATGTCTTAATCTATACACACATATATTATTGTGTAAATGCTTGTCTTTAATGAGAATTGTCTTTGCACATTTGCATCGTGGTAATCAGCTAACATTGAAGAAGCGGAAACTGAAACCTCATACGGTCGTCTGCTTGAATGAAGAATAATGACATTAAATCTGGCTTCTTATTGGCAATAAAAAGGAAACAGCAAAGGGTACTAAATGTTACATTTTCATGCTTTATTGTATTTAAAAGTACAGTTATGACGTAAAAACTCTGTGACATGATTTCTTATACCAAGACCACCTACTACCTGTATCAGGTATTTTTGGATGGGTTAGAATTACCAAGTCATATTCAAATGGAAAGTTTTTTATTTCTCAAATTTTAACATATAAACACCAGCAGGTATCACATTTTACTTGTCTAAGTAAATGTGTGTGGGGGGTGGGGTACTTGTAATAAATTTGGAATGCTAAGAAGTTGATATTTAATATTGTGACAGCTTTAAATTGAGTTCTGTATTTGACATACTTATTAAAAACTTTTCCAAGATAATATGTATTGACCAGTTTTAAAGTTTGAATTTAACTGTAGTCAAAATAGAAGAATCTTGTTTTATTCTTGTATTAAAGACATATTCATTAAAATATGTTATTTAGCACCAGTGGAGTGTTACATTATTTTTAGCTTTTTTCTTTTATGTTTTTCCTGAGGTAAGAGTTCGTGATGCATCTGTTGTTCTGACTGATACATTCAGTGGTTTTAGTTTAAATGGCACATTGGTGTAAACTTTATTAATCCATGCAAGTATGCTGTAACCCTCCATTCATGGTACTCAGGGGCGGGACTGTATGTAGGCCTGGAACTTCCCACCCGCCATCTACTCAGGCTGCCTGTGGAGACCTGACGTGAATTTGTGAACCAAATTGGTAGACTCCTTACCCAAACTGAATATGATGGAGGCCTAGAGAGTTGCCTTACACAGCCTGAGTCATCGTAGGTGGCCCTGACAAGTCAAGACCTGGTGGTCTCCTTTAAAAAAGACAGGAATTTGGCAAGAACATGGGCCTTCTCAGTGATTTCACTCTCTAATCAAATGTGTCCAAATAAATACCCAAATCTGACTTAGCAAATCAATGAGTCTCCCTTGCTGAGTTAGCTACTCAGTGAGGGCTGGAGAGAGACCCAGGTGTGTGGGGTGGGTGGATTTCAGTGCTCCACCTGTAGGCACAGACCAAAAAAGTAGAGTGATAGGAGAAGAGGGGAGAGCTTCATTGGTGTGTTTTCTGTCCATTCTTTTAGCCCTGATATGTTTCCAGTAGAATGTACTTCAGAGCACAGGTTGATTGCAGCTGAGTGGAATGTTGGAACATGTGCTCAAGAATGCTTCCACAAAGCCTTCACAGGGCTTGCCCCAGACATAATTCACACTTTTGGTGATGCTCATTCACTTGCATATTTAACAAAGATTGAATACTCGTTATACATCAGACATTGTCCTAGGCTCTGAAGTTGCAGAAAACAAGCCTATTGGAGTTTATATTCTGGTGGTGAAGAGACAAATACGAAACAGATGTGTTGTGTTTGAGATTGTCAATTAATATTAAGTAGGCAATGAGGCTAGAAAGGGAAGTGGGAGTACATTTTTGTTAAAATCAGACGTTAGGCTTTTCTGTTGAAATTGCTTTTTAGTAAATGTGAAGGTTGTGAAACAGCAAGGTGTGATACTGTACTGTCTATATACTTGATTTAGATCATATTTTACTAAAAATTATTTTTCTTATTAAGTACTTGCACTGTATCATTTTTAATGCAGTTGTTTAATAGAATTTATTTTCGATTTGAGTTTTTTTTCTTTTCAGATAAAAATTTTATACAATGTCCAGGTTATAAATTTATGTACATTGAGTTTTGACAAATGCAGTTATGCAATCTAAATTTCTAGCCAGATATAAACATTATTAGCACTTTAAGTTTCTTTCCAGTTATACCCTTCCTTGTTGAACATAATATAAATGCAATCATGCAGTTTTTTATTTGCGTAGGTGTCTTTTTAACTCAGCATAGTTTTTAGATTTTTTTTTATTTTGTTGCATTTATTAGTAGTCCATTCCTTTTTAATAGGTTAATAGTGAATATACCACAGCATGTTAGGCTATTTCTAACCTCGGGTGTTTCAAATACACTATCATGAGTCTTTTAAGTCTTTGTAGACAAGTTCTTATTATGGCAAACAACTAGGAGGAGATGTCTAGTTTTATGAAAACTGCTAAACTTTTTTTCTAAACTGGTTTTACCATTTTATGCTGACTAAAAATGTGCAAGTGTTCTAGTTGCTGTGTATTCAAATGCAAGGATTATTGTGGTCAAGCATTGTAATTGTATCCATGTCCAGTGAATGTTTTGTGGTTTTTATGGTTTTAGTTTTCATTTCCCTGATTAATGATGAGCACTTTTTTGTATGCTTTTTATTCACTTGGATATCCTCTCTGAGTTATCTGTTCAGATATTTTGCTGATATTTTATTAGATTAGATTTTTTATGAACTCATAGACTCTTGGGGTCTGTGCCTCGATTCCCAATCTCCCAAATGAGTGCAGGGCAGAGGGTCAAAGGAATGATCTTTAGGGTTCCAGGAGGACCAAAATCCTCTGCAGAGTTAATAACTCAGATAGCTGAAACAGACTGTCTATGGGTGGCCCGTATTTATTCAAAACAAGGAAGGGGTTGAAGTAGAAAACACAGGAAACCTGAGCAGGATCTTGGGAGGAGTTCAAGGATCTCTTCAAGCAACAGATGATGCTAATTAAGGAGAACTGTCCTAGGAGAAAGTCTCCAGGTGTGGCCTGTCTTGCCCCCTGACATGTCTCCTTGTTCTCAGGTCAGCCATGCCTGGGCCATGCCATAACCCTGTACATGCATTCAGCTTCAATGGCTCCAACATATTCCTGCCTTTTGTTTTGTTGCATGAGCCAGGTGGCCAGCTGAAACTGGAGAAGCTGTTAGGAGAACTCCCACAGTTTAAACTCTGCATAGTCCAGCAGTCTGTAACAGTGGTCAGTTACCGTAGGCAGCAATTGTCAAAGGTGCTAGTGATTTGAGCTTCCTTTACAGCTCACATTTCACTATGGCATTGCATTACACCTTCTGAAGTTACACTTTTCTGCATGAAGTTCAAGACCAAGTTACAATGAGACCTGTATAAAATCATTCATTGCCTTACTGTCTGTCAGGGTCAGTTAGGTCTCCTCAGGAATTGCCTTGGAACCATGCACAGCATTTCTTGGCTCTTCAGTCAGTGTGAACCATCAGGTCAAGTCACAACCATTGCTTGACCAAGTAGCTTTATATGAAAGCTTGGAAGATTTTTTTTTCCTGGTGATTCTCCTCAGGCACACCATTCATCAAAGATCATTTTCCTCTGTGGTCTCATAATCTTGATCAGAAGACCAGGGACTCACTGAGTATCTTAGGATGATGCAAGCTGAAGTTCTTCTATATCCTGGGTCTTCATTGATCTTGAAGGATTCTTTAGCCTATCTGTCTCTCCTATTTTGGGTCTCTAAACCTTAATTGCTGAACATCCAGAAGAAAAGACTGGTAACAATATAGTATATTAGAGGTAGTAAGCTTAACATTACTATCATCAACATATGAAGCACCTTAGAACATTAAATGAAACATTTTCTACCATACATAGATATCTTAACATTTGAATACCTACAGAGTGTTAACAATTATGTATTTTACACAGTAAATCAAGAATTAAAACCATACATGTTAAGATAATTACAACATTTGGCAACAAACTGAATTTCTGTTTTGACATAAAATACCCCTTTAGGTCAGTCATCCTTATTTAATACATAAGCTTCTATATGAATCTCACAAGTCTTTGGCACAAGCAGAGGTCTGAATACCATACCAAAGTCTGTACCATAAGTAATCCCCATTTTGGAGACCTATACATCCCATTTTGGGAGACCTGTGCATATGGAGCCATGAATATATCATGAAGTTATAACAATCAACTGTGATAACCATATGAAAGCTTTGCACAGACATCTTCAAACCAAAAAACATTTAAGGTGTCTCCAATAAGGTTATGCAGATCATTGGGGCATCCAATCAGTGAACAAGAACTGGTCAAAAAATGTTACCAGATAGCTGCATTCTTACCCATTGGAGACCTGTCCAACAATCCCAACACCAAGGGATTTTGTTTACTTATCTTAATATTTTTTAAAAATAACGAAACTTTCAAGTCCATAAATAACAATATACATCATTCTTATATACCTAGTCTTGACATCATTTGGACCAGCTGGCAACCAAGGTGAAAGCACACTTTGTAAATCTATAACCCAAACAAAATTTTGATCAAATAATATGAAAGTGTAAAAGAAAAAGGAAAAAGGAAAAATCGTTTAGCTTATAATAAAAGGAACAGCTATTCACAGAGTGGACAAGCAGACAAACATGGACAGATGATCTGATGATCTGTACAGATACAAACACAGAAATAAGCACACAGCCTGTTGGGGTCCGTGAGAACTCCCCAAGTTCGTTAGGGGCCATTTGTGTACTCATACTATGCCCCCTTGCTGAACTAGCTTGATTCTTATTTTCCTGTGTTCTCAGGGCTGAGAACCTGTTCACATCCAGCAGCCCATGCCCTTGGGGCATTTCTCAGGTGCTCCAGGCCACTTGGGCCCTCCTGCATGGGCACTTTTGCTTTCTGCTCCACACGTTGAATCATCACTAGCTCAGCAACTCCCAGCAACTGCTTACAAGCAGACTTGACAGACGACAGATACACAGATGGACTAACAAACATCGTACAAAATCAGAGTGCACTCAAACACAACCTTAACCAAATTGAATTACAATAACTTCTTGCAAATTTAGAATTTGTAACTATAAATTGACCATTAGGATTTTTAATAGGCCAATTTACAGAGATCTCAGAAAAGATCTTGGAAAGGACTGTAGGAGTTTTGAAAGCAAAGGGAAAATAAAGCGGCATATACACCAAGGGTCAGCAAAATGACTGCTGCCCTGCCAGCATAAGCAACAGCTTTCATTGAGATAAAAAACAAAGAAACTCACATTACCCATACTTAGATTATATATGTCAACCAAAGAAATACCTAAAGCATAAATTTTTGCTTTGATCAATGGTCTAATAGAAAAGTTTTCACATAGGTCAGTAAGACTAGTTGTAGACGGTTTGGCACAAGACAGTGTAGGTTCAGGAGAAAGCAACAATATAGTAAGTCAGCTAAGGCAACATTTTGTGTTAGAAGTTTGCAGGGATGTAATTGCAAATATACTCTTCTCATGGAAAAAGCCATCTAGCAGGGAGAAGAACGTGTCCATTTCCTTGCAATATTGGTTCATAACTAGAACAATTCCAAGTACTATTAGGAAGGTAAAGGCATCTAGCGATGGGAAATAAAGTACTGCCAGGCAAGTGAGGTAAATATAACCATTCAACAATACCTTGCTGCTCTGGATGGTAACAAGAGTCCCTGTGGGTAAAGGGGCTGAATGAAAAATGAGCAGGAGAGAGGGCAGTCCTTTAACTGTGGTGAGTGTGTGAGCAAAGCTCTGAAGGGCCTGCTGTAAAGGAGGAGAGTAAGAGATCGCATCAGCAGGGTCTGT